TGTCCTCTCATAAAGCAGGGATGATGATAATAATTTTTATAGGGTTGCTTTGAGGATTAAATGCAATAATAAATGTAAAGTGTTTAAAACAATGTCTGGCATAGAGAAAACACTCAATAAATGTACTACTATTGTTTGACAGAAACTAGCCAACTAGCCCAGACATTAAAACACTCCTACTTAGAAACAATAACCCATATCATCAGTATAAAATTAGTATGTTTATCTCCTGCCTCCATCCAATTGAACTTAAAACTGTACTTCAAAAAGAGGGTATGAGAACATGTTTACCGGTTTAACTTTTCATTTGTAATGAAAATGTGCCTTTTATTAAAGCTGAATTTATTTTATATATAAATGGCAAAGACACACAAATAACCTATATTCATTGCCATGCCTGTTGTTTTTGTTTTTGCAAAAAACAATAGTTTTTTGTGTGTGTTTCTTTTTTTTGTTGTTGTTAATCCTCAACCGAGGATATTTTTTCATTGATTTTTAGAGAGTGGAAAGGATGGGGAGAGAAACAGAGAGAGAAACATCGATGTGAGAGAAACAGATCAATTGGTTGCTTCCTGCACACACCCTGACCAGGGCTGGCGATCGAGCCCGCAACCAAGGTACATGCCCTTGACCAGAATGGAACCTGGGACCCTTCAGTCCGCACATTTTTCTGAAACCTGCTTGCCCTTTGGGTAAGTTTTTAGTTTGGAAAACTGAGTTATGTCATCAGTTTAGGAAATAATTCACAGTAATCTATAAGTCTGGACCATAAGATAGTTCCCTTTGGAGGATTTAAAAGACCACGTACGTATTTATTTTTAAAGCCTTTCCCCCTAGGGGGCTGTGCTGTGGAGTTCACAAAGGTAAACAGTTCATGAACAGATTAGAGCAGGACAATTCCAAAAAAGACATAGTTTTTAAGTATACATTTTTTTAATCTCAGAAATTTTTGTTTTCATCTTTACTTTCCAGAAAAGGGAGACATAGATAAGTGCTTTAATTTTTATTATGAAGCTTCTGTTTTGTATTTGTTGTTTTTCCACTACATTTGAGCATATGAAATATTCTGGGGTTAGATGTCTGATATAATAGTGCTTAAAATGTTTCAAGTGATTTAATACTTATGAAAAATTTTCCTTGGTTTTTAAATTTTCCGCTTTCCAAAATGAAGTGCCTTTAATTGCTTTGCTCCCTCATTTAATAATTGGATAGAGCAGCATTTTATTACATAAATTTATAACTGATTTTTTTTAAAATTTTACTAGTATACATCTGTTTCCTCTCTGTTCAGACACACATCTAACTAAATCATATCCAAACTAAATGACGTATTTAAGGATATAAACCCTTTTGCATACTATACTGATAATACTTGCCAATTATTAGTGCCTATAATGTCCTGGGCCCTATTTGACAATTTCACAAGACACCTGCAATGTAAGATTTAGCAAACCAATATTACAGATAAGGTGATTGGACTCTGATATGTTAAGTGATTTACCTAAGGCAACATAGGAGGCCAGGATTCAAAGCCTGGGTGTCTTTCTTCAAACACTGCCCCCCACCCCCAATCCTTTAGCCATTTTTTTTTCCTTTAGCCATTTTATACATCCTCTTTCAACTGTACCACAGATAATATTTAACTTACAGATCATGAGACATGGATTAAAATTTAAGTTATAAATAAACCAATAATGACCAATGGATGACCAAATGCTGTAAATCTTCTATAATAATAAAAGCGTAATATGCTAATTAGACCGGACAGCCGAATGACCTTCCAGACGTCCTTCCGGACGAAGCCGGGGCTGCGAGGGCCGAGCCCCTTGCACAAATTTTGTGCATCGGGCCTCTAGTATTTATATAATGAGAAAAGGAAACGTTTAGCGAAATTCTTACACTGTGAACATCCTTTTTTATATTAGCATATGTTGTTCTGTTTTCCTTTGTGTCCTACCTAATTATTTCTGATGTAGGCATTTTCAGGACTTAAGCTATAAGTTACTGATTTGTGATCCTAGTTTTGTATAGGCAAGACAGTAAAAAAATAAATAAAAAAATAGAACTGTATAATAGGGGTGTTAAAGCCAGAGAGGAACAAGTGACAGAAAAGTTGACAGAGCACAACTCATTTGAAAAACCATGTTATGCCAGGAGTCATAATCTTGGTAAAATAAAAATTCAAACAATATATAATCAAATATTATGTAAATCATTGGTGTAATAAAATATTCCTTGGTATAGTATAAGAGCCACTTTTTTAAAATTCAGTGCTCTCTTCTTTTTAAAACTTAATTTATTAAAATATTAGCTAATATAAAGTTTCTTTGTTACTTTAATTGAATTTCCCTGAAATAACTAAAATCACTCATCATCATAGTGGTAATTAACTTTTTATGTGTATAGAACTAGAGATACTTTTGTTTGTACAGACTTGCAGAAGTTCTGAGGATTCTCTCTGTAATGAGAGAAAATATACAAAATCTGTTCCATTTAAAGTTAGAAATTCTTACTAATTAATTTAGGAAGTCTTACTAATTATTAGCATATAAAGGGCCGTCAAAATTTCTTAATATTTGAAGTCTTATAATATGTGCAATTCCCAATTTTTAAATGCATTGATTTGAAGCTTTAAAGAAGACAGCATGCATTTTCTTCATATACTTTCACATAAAAATGCAATGTTGTCAGTAATGAATTAATGCAGTGTTTTAAATAGTGGTTAAGTGCTCAGGTTAATTCATTAAAAAAAAAATCTAGCCCTACTATACAGCTTGATTACTGATAGTAAAAGTGTTTGGGGGTATGAAAGATTTTATTTTGTAATTTAAAAATAACCAATACAGGTTGTCCTCCCAAAAATGTATATACACTTTAACAGCTAATAGCTCAGTTTTGAAAATGAAATGTATTTTAATAAACACTGCCTTTATAATTATTCAAAATGTGTGTATACATTTTTGGGGGATACCCTATACTTGAAAGAATGTAATGTAGTTAAAAATACATATATTATTTAGGACATAAATAGAAAGATGTTCTACGTATGTTAAAATATGTTGGATTTCCTGCTAACTTTTTTTTTGCTAAAAATATCTTGGGCCCCAAAACTTTAAATAATATAACCTTAGTTTTCAGCTGCTGGATACCTATTCTTTTCCCATGGAATACATGGAATTACCTCTCATCTATTTTTGTGTTTTGTTTGTCACCTCACTTTAATACTATGGAGCTTTGCCTTTTCAAATTCCTTAACTATTTAGCTGATAATTTATAAATATCTACCACAGTATTTTATATATAGTAGATGTTTGATATTTATGGACTCGGGACATTAAAGTTAAAATTTACTTCTACATAACTTGTTCAGTCTCATTTATTTAACTTATCAATTAAATTTTATGGTAGTAGGAGGTGAACATTTTAACATTTTCTGTATGCCTAGCAAAGTACAGCTTTAAGGAGTATGATTTTACATATAAGGCTACAATTATGTATATGGAGATAAGAACTGGAACCCAGTACCTGTACAGTCTTTACTAAATATGCATAAATGTTCCTACATAATCCTCATTTACTGTATTTCTTTTAAATTTTATTGAGAATCAAAATTGTTTAGGTTCTCTTTTAGAGTAAGATTTCTTAATTATTTTTCACGGTTATGTGTAACACTAGATTATTCAAAAGATTATGAATTTATAAAAGGGAGGAGGATAGATAGATAGACAGTATGAATGATTAGAGAACCTATTAAAGCAGCAGAACTTATTCACTGATTGCTCTGCCACAGAAATTAAAGCCTGCGTAAATATTGGCTTAAAATGGGAAGTTTCAGCTCATCACCATTTGGTTATATTTGGGGAATCAAGTGCTTAATTTTAGATATCTTTTCTATAAGTAAAAAAATGTAATGTTTCAACCTGAATATAATATTTTTGAATGGCAGTTTTTCTTCATCTCCTAATATGCATTGAAGTTAAATAAATTTTACTTCTATAACCTGAAATATTTTTGTCTTTGCCATATAAGCATAATTCCAGGAAGCCCTATTCTCTTACAAATAATTATTTTTCTTAAGCACTTAATGAAGGGAATACCAGTTTACACCAAACATTGAATAAGTTAAATAAACTCTTAATATTGATTCTTAGGAGTCCTCATAATTCATCAGCAGAATTATTTGTGTTTACTCAAATTCTATAACTAAAGATAATATACCTGAATCAGAAACTACTTATATCATTTTAATATTATCTTTTTATAATAACAAACTAAGACTTCAGTGTCAGGCTACATTTTTTGTAAGAACTCAGGTGCTGGTCACTTACTTTAATAACCTAGAGATCTGATGGGACACTCTGAGCCGGACCATTTCCTTCAGCATCTAAACATAAATTTTTCTTAAACATGACACATGTGTAAGAATTGTGGTTGAGTCTAAATTACACAAACTATAAAAGGATACAATAAGAAATTTTAGAATAATTCTAATTTTAAATGGTGATTTAAATTAAAATTTAGTGGTTCAAAGATCTTATCATTAATAATTAACCCAGCACATAACTGTTACAGAAGTGTCCTAGCTATGGTTTTGTCAAGTAAAAAAGCATTAATAATGGGAAAGTTGAAGTATATGTCTGTTTTTCACTATAATTTTTTGGTAATGTATGCAGAATCAATGAATATTGCTAGATGACTTCAAATTATTTTATTAGGCTAAGGAGGGAGTAGAATTATTTCTAAGAAATTATTTTTGCTTTTTAAAACTACCATAGAAAACCTGAAACTAATATAATATGTTAACTATAATTGAAAAATAAAAAATGGTTTAATGAATAAATAAAACTACCATAGAAAATTATTAAAAAACAAACTGTTTACTCACTATGTGTTTTAATAGTCAAGGTCCACCTTTAAAGATTAAATAAGTATTCATTCTTTAGTAGTATAGTATATCATAGTTCTTTGATTTGATGGCAGGAACAAAGTGAAATACTTACCAAACATTATTGTCAAGAGGGCAATTGGCATCACAAATAATCCAACCAGCAAATCAGCCACTGCCAGGGACATTAGAAAATAATTGGTAGCATACTGCAGCTTTTTCTCCAGTGAAACAGCCAGAATAACAAGGATGTTTCCACCAATTGTAGGTATTATCAACATGATTATCAGAAGAGCTGCCCAGCGTGGCTTGTTTCCCTGTTCCTCACCAATCTGTTTCATTTCCTCTGGTATCGATTCTGTCTGTAATCCAGACCAGTTAGAAGAGATTAAGTGATCAAATGAGCTCTGCAAAATGAGCTCAGTAATTGTGCTTTGTTCAGATGTTCTGTAAGAGAAAGCCATTCGCTGTTTTTCTGTGATTTGATCTGATTCCAGGCAATGGTCAGCATGGTCAGTAAATAAACTGGTCATCTGCTTTTTTAAGGCATTCTTACCCATGCCAAATACTTGAAGCCAAAGTTGATTCCTTCCTTTCAGAACAATTTCAAGTTCTCTAAAATGAGAGCGCACATGCATCTGTCCATGTCTGTAGGTAAAGCCCAAGTTTAGTATTCTGTAGAGGCTCCCATTTCAGAAGGCTTAGTGAAAGAAAACGATAGCTGTAAAAAAAAGACTTTATTAGTTTCTCTTTTTTTTTCTTCTGTAGTGGTAGAGTTGTGTTAGAATTGGAATGTCTGAGTTTTCCCTAGGTATAAAATATGTGGATTGTGTTATTTTATTTACTTTATAAAAACAGGACAAACACTTGAACTTAGTAGCCTTTCCCTTCACAGTAGGTCTCTTGTGCATTTGTGACAGCGCAGCCAGTTTCCATAAACATGTTCCTGATATTTCAGTGATTTAGTGATTTATAATAAAATACGAGTTGTTCACTTTACCTTAGAATATGTACAGAAGAATATAAACATCAAAGTACTAAATAGTTCTGAATGGAACTTTTTGGTACACACTAGCCAGCCACACACCTAGAAACACTCTCAGCCCACCTAAAGTGTAAATTTTTTACCAGCTAGAAATTTTTATTTTTCGGACAAGGCTTATCTTAATACTGATATAAATGCTGTTTTCATAAAGCATTTTAGGATTTCTTTAGTTTGAGAGAAGGGAAAAAAATACAGGTATTACTAGGATCCAAATAATTGTTTTAGTAATTTCATCTTGTAAAGAAAGCAGGTCTCTGCAACAGATATTTTTTTCCAAGTGTATCACTTTTTGCCAGATTTGAACCAGTTTTTTGTTTGTTTTAAATAGTAATTTTTTTTTCTTAACTTTCTCAGTTTCCTTGGAAAGGAGGGGAAGCTAAGAGGAAGATTAAACCATTTATTCATAAAATCTACAGATCCCATATTAAAAAATTTCCATTTAACATTGGTAAATTTTTCATTTTGGTTTTTAAACTAAATAGAAATGAAAGATTATAGAAGCACAATTTTTGAAGAAAAAATATATTAACTCTATTATTTATTAAACACTTACCTCTTATTTGCTTGTTTCCGTTATCTGCTCAGTAGACCTGCTTGCTGCTGTGACTGAAGTCCTCCTCCCGTTGACTTATTCTGAGCCTCCAGCACTGGCACTTGAAAATAATGAAACTAATGTGTTGTATAGCTGTAAGCATGCCAAGGAGGTTATTTCCTCTTTGATATATTCGTTTTTAGAGAGTAGCAGCATTCATTATAATTAATAAAATCACCAGTGAAATATGTTGAACTAGTTCATGACCCTTATTCAAGTTATATTCTTAAGAGCTCTCTTTAATATTTGGGGAATTATAATAAACTCTGTTGTTTTAGCTTAAGATAGATTTGTTGTGTATTAACCCTGGGCTGTTTTTCCCATTTGAGAAAAAGTAAGACACAATCTAGAGATTGTAGAGCTTTTATTTCTGTGAAGAGAAGAGTCTGCCCTGTGAGCCTTATAGCAGTTTCTAGAATTCTAACTTGTAGCTGTGAAACAAGATTCTTACCCAGCTTTTTATGCCTTTGCTGTGGAACATAATTTGCTCTGGTTGCAGCCTTATATAGAAAAGCACAGGAAGGTCTGGATTCTACATGTATACATAAGTTTTAGCAGAAACTTTTTCATTGCTTATTTTTAAACAAATGGCCTCTGAATTTGAGAGTTGGTTCATTGACAGTTTTTGTTTTTCCACAGGTATGTTGGGGAAAGCATGTGATATGTAATGGAAATATATTTCTGCTTTATTGCAGAAAATGGATATTAAAAATCTTAGCAGCTATGTTATCTAAGTTTCTCATACTAGAACTTCAGCATTTTCAGTTTCCTTTTTTAAAAGATCATCATAGGTCACTTGTATTTTAAAATTATTTAATTACTTTGATTACTGGTAGTACTTATACCCTTTTACTGTTTCAAATTATATTTCTTAGTTTGTGTGGTAGTTACTGGAAAATACTTGGTTCATTTCAGTTCTACTGAGCATTTCAGATTTTATTAAATACTTGCTACTTTTTTAAAACTCAAAATTCAATATTTTAGAAAAAATATTTGCTAAGAATTTGAGGTAAAAACAAATAAAATAATATTCAAGAACAATCATATGGATTTAGTGTGCCAGAATTTGTCTTTAGGAATATGGAAATATTTTTTAAATACTGTTTTATTATGAAATTACATTTTGGCCTCTGTGCTTACACAGGTAGATAGAGGTTTGCAAAACAAATGGCATCATATTGAAATAGCAGCACCAATGTATTCAATGAAAAGACTTGTATGAAGTAAACCTTCATTATTTGTGTTTATAGATCAAATTTTTATAAATATTCTGTATATTATAAAATACTAACCATTATTATTATTATTATTATTATCATTATTATTATACTTTGTCAATACTAACCCCTCCCACACACATTCACTCACTTTTTTAAAGGAATCTTAACTGAAAGTACTTAAAATTGGTACTTAGATTATTCTTTT